ACAAAGGAAACAGTTTATATGGCAAAGGGGTTCAGAAGGATGGAGGGAAAACAGCTGTACTATTCGATGGGATGTACAAAACCTGGAAGTAAAAAGAAAAACAATTTTATTTTTTTTGTAAGATTTTATTTATTTGAGAGAGACAGATGGAGATAGAGAGAGAGAGCACAAGCAGGGAGGAGAGGGAGAAGCAGGCTCCCCACCGGGCAGGGAGCCCGACGCGGGACTTGATCCCAGGACCCCGGGACCACGACCCGAGCCAAGGCAGATGCCCAACCGACTGAGCCACCCAGGCACCCCCAGAAAAACAATTTTAACTTAACACAGATTAAGGAGGAAAAATAAGCCATCCTGACAAAAGCTAAAAAATATGTATGTATACATACATACATACATATATATGCCTATACATACACATATATTTTAAATGAGGTTGGAAGAAAAGACCAAGCATGCACAATGAGTAATAAGCTATACACATATACCAGCAATTCCACAAAAATTTGTCAAGCACCTCTAATTATCAGACTCCATGCTAGATGCTGCGGATACAGTGAATGTGATATGCTCACTTCATTCAAGAAGCTTATCAAATGGGGGCACCGAGGTGGCTCAGTCGGTTAAAATCTGTCTTCAGCTCAGGTCACGATCTAAGCGTCCCGGGATCGAGTCCCACATCAGGCTCCCTGCTCAGCGGGGAGTCTGCTTCTCCCTCTGCCTCTCCTCCCTGCTTGTGCTCTCTCTCTCAAATAAGTAAATAAAATCTTAAAAAAAAAACAAACACAATTTTATCAAATGGAAGAACAAAGAGGTATCAGTTTCAGAATTTAGAGAAAGTAGTATCAAAATGTTACATTAGTTCAGGAATGCTCAGAACCAGAACATAATCTTCTCCACAGAAAAAAAGAGTAAGCAGCGCTACCCATAGAACTTTCTACAAGGATGAAAACATTCCACATCTGCAGTGACCAGAAGGGCAGCCACTAACCACATGTGGTTACCGAGTACTTGAAATGTGGCTAGTCCAAGTAAGGAACACAATTATTCATTTTACTTATTTCTAATTAATTTAAACTAATTTTAAATTTAAATTTAAATTAATTTAATTTAAAATCCAATACAGCTAATGGCTACTTAATGGACAGTGGAGGTATAGAGTAAGACAACAAATTTCATTCAACTCTACATGTTAACCTGGGGATCTGGCTACATCACAGAGAGAGATGATGTAAAGGTACACCATGAAGGTAACTAAAGGGTTGGAAAACCTCCAGCAAAAACCCCAAAATAGAATTTTTAATGTACTTATATCTTATTTTGTTTCAAAAAGAATTTAATGACTTGCAAAGACTCACAGCACAGCAAGAAAAATCACTTGTTAAATGTTAAAAATGCAGGTATGTACATTAAACAAAAGGTATAAAACAAATGTAATAAGAAACAGAATTACCTTCCACAGAGAATAGTTGAGTATTATCTTTTTCTTTAAAAGATTTATTTATTTCAGAGAGAGAGTGGACATGAGCACCAGCAGGAGGGGCAGAGGGAGAGGAAGAATCTCAAGCAGACTCCTCACTGAGCAGAGTCCAACACAGGGCTCAATCTCACGACAATGAGATCATGACCTGAGCTGAAACCAAGAGTCAGAGGCTTAACCAACGGCACCACCCAGTATCTTAATACTGGGATTTTATGACTCTAAGCAATTTTTTATGGATTTTTGTGATTAAGATACTATTCAAGAAGTGGGTTATGGAATCCAGAGCATGAAGAATTTAGATCGGTATATTAACGATCTATTGCAGTATAACAAATTACCCCAAAACATAGCTGTTTAAAATGATAACACTTAGGGTCTCGCACAGGCCTGAGGGTCAGGAATCTGGGAGTGGCTGCGTGGGGTGGTTCTGGCTTAGGGTCTCATGAGGTTGCACAGAGGGCTGAAAGTTTCCCCTGGACTAAGATCATCTACTTCCAAGATGGTTCATCACATTCCTCACCACACAGATCTCTCTGCACAGATACTTGAGTGTCCTCATGACATGGCAGCTGACTTTGTCAGTGATTCAAGAGAGAGGAAAGAGGGAGCGGCACTGCCGTTTATGACCTTGTCTCAGAAGTCACACACACACACACACACACACACATATATATATTTTACATGAGGATGAGGAATTAACCTCCTCCTCTTGAAGGATGGAGTATCAAAGAATTTGTGGAACATCATAAACCATTATAATGGGATAAGAGTATCTGTTCACTTTGGGGTGCTAGAAATTGTAATGAGAGCCTGGGATCCCTTCCCCTGGAAACCCAAAAATTAGAATAAATTGTAACTTCTGAAACAGCTTCAACTGCTTTCTAAAAAGCAAGAGATTAAACACAATTGGGTTCTCGGTCACTTACAACCCAACCACTTTTTAACTACTGGTATTAAATAAATGGCATGAAACACCATGCTCTACATATAATGTCACAGATCCTCAAGATAACTCTGCGAAGTGAGCAGTTTCATCCCCATTTTCAAGACGAGAAGTAAGTCCAGAGAGATAAGCCACAAGTCCTGTCCAGGTCTACGTGGTTCCCAAGTTTTTGTTCTTCTACAGCAGGATGCTTCTCTTACTCCAGCTACCACAGAAGCTAGTGTTTGTAACGTCAAACATATGGGAGGTACCACAAAATATATTACTTCAGCCACGATTTTCATCTTTTGTTCCATCAATTACTTTGCTCAGTCTGTTTTTGTTTTGTCTGGTGTTTTCTACATGCCGCTCATTTTGCTTCACTTTGCGTCCCATCCAGCACCTGGTACCTTGGCCCATCCTCCCTCTGGGTCCACCTGCACTGGAGAAGCAACTAGTAACTTGCTCTAAGAAGTACAGAGAGGCAGTGACAGAACCAGAACCAACAGCCTGTCCTTACAAACCCTCATGGAGGGCTCTCTGCACCACCACACAATCCTGCCTCTCCATCCCAAGACCTGCACAGCAGTTCACCTCTCCCTGGTCTCCAAACTCTGCATGGAACAAGGACACTGACCCAGAAAAGCTCAATCCAAATGTGGAAAGCTTCATTTGCTCATTCTCCCCCAACAATCCAATTGGACCCTGATGTCTGTCCATTCAACCTTGTAAATATTTTTCAGTATTTATCCTATCCATCCCCATTAACAATGTCCTAGTTCAGGCAATTTTCTCTTTCACTTGGGCTTCCACATCAGCTTCTTAAGTCTCCTGCCTCTAGCCTCACCCTCCCTAATTTATCCCCAATATGGCAGAGAGTTCTTTCTAATGCCCAGAACTTATCTTGCCACCCCCTAAAAAGAATCTTCAATGGCTCTCCTTCCACTCCCCTCACGACAGTTCAAGAAGGACCTTGTAAACTGGCTCAGGGTCTTGGATTTTATCCCAAAGGTTATAAAGAGGGATCTGATGTTTGAACGAGACCTCTGTACCAGACACTTTACCTATGTTATTTCATTTAATCCTCTCGGGAGCCCTACAAAATCTGCATATGATCCCTTTGCATACACTGTTCTAATTAGCCCTCTCATCTGTAAGCCATGCAGCCAAAATAATCTAAGGCCTTTCCTTGCCCACCATCTATCCAACAGATCCACAAATTCCCTCTGTGCCACCACCTTCTTGTCTAGACCATTATAATTTGTTTACACAGCGATTCCCCTACCCCGCTTGAAAAAAAGGGATCAATCATGCCACATTCACCTTTATACCCTCAGCCCCTAGCAAAGAACCTGTTTCAGAGTAGGTGCTCAGTAAATGGCTGACGGCTAATAATCAACTGAAAGGGAGGTCTACCAGGGTATAGATGTGCTGAAGCATTGCCTCAATCAACAAATCTCCCAGGAGTATCTTATCAATTAATTATCTCCCCAAAAGTCCACATAGTACCCTGGGCTTTTACCACGCCTTCAAAAGCTCAATGCTTCTACTGTGATCTAAGGGAGAAGTGTTCAGACCAAGCTGTCCCATTAAAGATTAGAGGGCCTCTGGGGACTGATCATCTGGACCAACCCGCGTCTAGCTGTCCCTGCTTCCTGTGCTCTTTGTATACACCCCCACCGATAAAATTATCTGCCAGCTCCCCCCAGAACAGGACTTCCCAGTAAAGGACTTCATTTTTCAACTTCATCACGTAGCACAAGCCTGGCACATGGGGGATGGTCAACACATGTATTAAAGGATGAGAATACCAGCTAACATTTATTTAGTACTATGTACTAAGGATCTGATATGCATCATCTCATTTAACCCTTACAGCAATCCTCGCAGGGAAATGCTGTGCGACGTTATTCCCAGGTAAACAGATGAGGACACTGAGGCCCAGAGAAGACTAAAACACAATAAAACAAGCACTGACTGAGAGCGTCATATACTTTGTATTTTCACATGCTTTATTTATTTCATTCATCCCTCTGTACAATCCCGCAATTAAGTTATAGGTTATAGTCCCATTTTAGACCAAAAAACACACCAAAAAACAAAAAACAAAAAAACCTAAGGCTTGGAGACATCGCCCAACACCACACAGCTTGTAAGGCCAGCCCCAAGCAGGTCCGCCGGAGTCCGGGGCCCCCTTGCACTTGCCTGTCTTGCCGCCGCCCCCCGCCCCCGGGCCAGGGAGCTCCCACTCCCCAAACTGCGCCGCCCCCAGCCCCGAAAGGCTGTCCCCACCGCGCAGCGACGGCGATCCACGCGCCCGTCCCCGCCGGGACGCCGCTCCGCGACTGCGGGCCACGCCAGTGCTCCGGGCCGGGGCCCACGGCGCGCGATCGGCCAGCAGCCGGGCGGCAGGTGGCACCGGGCTCGTCTGGGACGGTCCCCCTCCTGCGCCCGGCTCCGCACCTGTGCCGGCGGGAGGGGGAGGGGGCGGGGGCCAGCCCCCCGCGGCCCCCCGGGCCCCCCGCGGAGGCCTCCGCCGCCCGCCGCCCGGGACGAGGGGCGCCCGCTCCCCGCTCGCCCGCGCCGCCCGGCCGTTACCGGTTCCGCTGCTCTTTGAAGAGCGCCGTCAGCGCGCGCAGGGCCTCCAGGTCCTGGACGGGCGCGGGCACCATGACGCCGGACAGCCGGGCGAGCGGCGGCCTGGGCGCCGCCATCTTGCCGCTCGCCGCTCGCCGCGCCGGGCGAAGACGACGAGCAGGAGGAGGAGGAGGAGCGGGGGGAGCGCAGGCGGGGGGGAGCGCGCCCCGCGGCCGCCGGACAAGGCCGCCGCCGCCGCCGCCTACGCGCCGCCGCAGCTCAGACCCGGAGGGAGAGCGCGAGGCCAGGCTTCCAGCCTCCCCTCGGGCGGCAACAGGGACGACGCGGGGGGGGAGGGGCGCGAGCGGAAGTCCCGCCTGAGGGGCGGGGGTGCGAGCGGAAGTTCGGGGGAGGGAGGGGGCGGGGCGACGGGAGGGCCTGGGGTCTGAGAGGAGGAGGAGCCGCGGCCCCAGGCTCGCCCTGAGGGGGAGATGCGGGTGGGGGAGGAAGAGCCTGGCCGGTGGGGGGACAGGGACAGGTGCGCCCTGAGGAGGAGATGCGGGCGTGGGGGGCCCGGGCCAGAGGGGTACAGGGACAGGTGCGCCCTGAGGGGGGATGGGGCGGGGGAGGGGCCTGAGCAAGAGGGGTACAGGGACAGGTGCGCCCTGAGGAGGAGATGCGGGCGTGGGGGGCCCGGGCCAGAGGGGTACAGGGACAGGTGCGCCCTGAGGGGGGATGGGGCGGGGGAGGGGCCTGAGCAAGAGGGGTACAGGGACAGGTGCGCCCTGAGGAGGAGATGCGGGCGTGGGGGGCCCGGGCCAGAGGGGTACAGGGACAGGTGCGCCCTGAGGGGGGATGGGGCGGGGGAGGGGCCTGAGCAAGAGGGGTACAGGGACAGGTGCGCCCTGAGGAGGAGATGCGGGCGTGGGGGGCCCGGGCCAGAGGGGTACAGGGACAGGTGCGCCCTGAGGGGGGATGGGGTGGGGGAGGGGCCTGAGCAAGAGGGGTACAGGGACAGGTGCGCCCTGAGGAGGAGATGCGGGCGTGGGGGGCCCGGGCCAGAGGGGTACAGGGACAGGTGCGCCCTGAGGGGGGATGGGGCGGGGGAGGGGCCTGAGCAAGGGGGGTACAGGGACAGGTGCGCCCTGAGGAGGAGATGCGGGCGTGGGGGGCCCGGGCCAGAGGGGTACAGGGACAGGTGCGCCCTGAGGGGGGATGGGGCGGGGGAGGGGCCTGAGCAAGAGGGGTACAGGGACAGGTGCGCCCTGAGGGGGGATGGGGCGGGGGAGGGGCCTGAGCAAGAGGGGTACAGGGACAGGTGCGCCCTGAGGAGGAGATGCGGGCGTGGGGGGCCCGGGCCAGAGGGGTACAGGGACAGGTGCGCCCTGAGGGGGGATGGGGCGGGGGAGGGGCCTGAGCAAGAGGGGTACAGGGACAGGTGCGCCCTGAGGAGGAGATGCGGGCGTGGGGGGCCCGGGCCAGAGGGGTACAGGGACAGGTGCGCCCTGAGGGGGGATGGGGCGGGGGAGGGGCCTGAGCAAGAGGGGTACAGGGACAGGTGCGCCCTGAGGAGGAGATGCGGGCGTGGGGGGCCCGGGCCAGAGGGGTACAGGGACAGGTGCGCCCTGAGGGGGGATGGGGCGGGGGAGGGGCCTGAGCAAGGGGGGTACAGGGACAGGTGCGCCCTGAGGAGGAGATGCGGGCGTGGGGGGCCCGGGCCAGAGGGGTACAGGGACAGGTGCGCCCTGAGGGGGGATGGGGCGGGGGAGGGGCCTGAGCAAGAGGGGTACAGGGACAGGTGCGCCCTGAGGAGGAGATGCGGGCGTGGGGGGCCCGGGCAAGAGGGGTACAGGGACAGGTGCGCCCTGAGGGGGGATGGGGCGGGGGAGGGGCCTGAGCAAGAGGGGTACAGGGACAGGTGCGCCCTGAGGGGGGATGGGGCGGGGGAGGGGCCTGAGCAAGAGGGGTACAGGGACAGGTGCGCCCTGAGGAGGAGATGCGGGCGTGGGGGGCCCGGGCCAGAGGGGTACAGGGACAGGTGCGCCCTGAGGGGGGATGGGGCGGGGGAGGGGCCTGAGCAAGAGGGGTACAGGGACAGGTGCGCCCTGAGGGGGGATGGGGCGGGGGAGGGGCCTGAGCAAGAGGGGTACAGGGACAGGTGCGCCCTGAGGAGGAGATGCGGGCGTGGGGGGCCCGGGCCAGAGGGGTACAGGGACAGGTGCGCCCTGAGGGGGGATGGGGCGGGGGAGGGGCCTGAGCAAGAGGGGTACAGGGACAGGTGCGCCCTGAGGAGGAGATGCGGGCGTGGGGGGCCCGGGCCAGAGGGGTACAGGGACAGGTGCGCCCTGAGGGGGGATGGGGCGGGGGAGGGGCCTGAGCAAGAGGGGTACAGGGACAGGTGCGCCCTGAGGAGGAGATGCGGGCGTGGGGGGCCCGGGCCAGAGGGGTACAGGGACAGGTGCGCCCTGAGGGGGGATGGGGCGGGGGAGGGGCCTGAGCAAGGGGGGTACAGGGACAGGTGCGCCCTGAGGAGGAGATGCGGGCGTGGGGGGCCCGGGCCAGAGGGGTACAGGGACAGGTGCGCCCTGAGGGGGGATGGGGCGGGGGAGGGGCCTGAGCAAGAGGGGTACAGGGACAGGTGCGCCCTGAGGAGGAGATGCGGGCGTGGGGGGCCCGGGCAAGAGGGGTACAGGGACAGGTGCGCCCTGAGGGGGGATGGGGCGGGGGAGGGGCCTGAGCAAGAAGGGGTACAGGGACAGGTGCACTCTGAGGGAGGGGTAGGGGTGTCAGAGAGTCGTCGGAGGCTCGTTTTAAGGATGAGGTTGAAGACCTCGCCCTGCTGTTGAATTGGGTTGATTGGTACCCCTACCTGGACCCAACTGGGAAGTGGAGCAGTCTGTCAGCACAGTGCAAGTCTCAGACCCTGAGAGCTCAGCTCCCAGTACTTCGTGATCGGTTCCTGGTGATACCAGATCATTTACCAGGCACCTCAGGTAGGGTGACAATACGTTGTCATCCAGGGCTTAAAATAGAATTAGAAGTCAAGTAGCTGCATTCTGCAGCAGTAGGGTAAGAATTGTTTTTTTCTAAGGGAAATGAATATATTTTTTCAAGAATCAGACAAGGTTCTGTGGCTGGTTGTTGGTAATTCGTGTATTTTCTTTCCACTGCCCTTTATCGCGTTATGTATGCTTTCAATATTGTCACCAAGCCCTGTGCTAGGTGGAGGGACCCCAACCTTGAAGGAACTCAAGACAAAAGAGGCAAATGATAACTGCTATGACAGAGAACTGTACAAATTGCTATGGGACATTTCGATTTGAAGAGTAGGAGTGTGTTTATAATGTGGCACTTTTGATGTTCTTTGCTAAGGAAAGTTTAGAGACACAGTAAACACCACCAGAGTATGCAAGAGAAATATATCACGGACGGGCAAGCTACATGATAAGGTAATTCAACATCACCGGTTCAGCTGCCTGCATGTTCATCTCAGAAACATTCCTGTGTGCCAATTATGTACCAGGCATTAGATCACCTAGAAGTGCAAAAGACAGTTCAAAATGTTTAACAATCTTGAGACTAGCAGGGCAAAATCACTCAGTATTTTCTTGAGGAGCGGGGACTGGTCAAATGTATTGTCATGCGTCAAGATCTTGCCCCTTGGTTTTCTATCCTCAATTGTAACTACTCTGATGCTTCAGAAAACATTCCCCATAATATTCAAATTTATTGCCTGAAATGTTGCAATATCCTGATTGGTTTCTTGGCTTCTTCTCTTGCCTCCCTATATTCTAGATCTTTTTAAAAGTGTAAGTCCAGGGGCGCCTGGGTGGCTCAGTCGGTTAAGCGGCTGCCTTTGGCTCAGGTCATGATCCCAGGCTCCTGGGATCGAGCCCCGCTTCGGGCTCCCTGCTCAGCAGAGAGCCTGCTTCTCCCTTTCCCTCTACCTGCCGTTCTGCCTACTTGTGCTATCTCTCTGTCAAATAAATAAATTTAAAAAAAAGTGTAAGTCCACATTTCACTTTGCTCAAAACCCTCTAAAGGATTTCCATTTTACTCAAAGTAAAAGCCAAAATTCTTCCAATGGAGAAGTCCCTAAACAGTCTGTGTCCCTCCTCCTGCTTACCCCTGATCACTTCTGTCTCTTCCTCCCAGGCTGGTCTCCTTATAGTCCTCCACCAGGGGAAGTACGCTCCTCCCTGAGGACTTCGCACATGCTATTCCTTTTGCGTGGAACTTTCCACACTCTACCAGCTGGTACTTGCTTCCTTCAACTATCTGCTGAAGTGATCTCTTAATGAGCTTCCCTGGTTGATTTTTAAAATTGTAAACATACCACCCGAATTCCTGATTCTAAGAAACTGTTCTCCATAGCACTTAACACTTTCTATATCATAGTTTACTTATCTATTTTGTTTACTGATATAATGTATTCCTGCACCTAGGGAAGGACCTGCCACATGGTAATTTCCCAACAAATATTAGTTGAATTCATGAACAAAGAATTTTTTTAAAGATATTTTCAGAAAGGAGAAAGAAAATAACATGCCTCCAGGAAAAAAAAGGACACCAATCCAAAACGTACAGGAAAGAGGAAGGATGGAAGAGAGGAAGAAAAAAATTAGAAGAAGATTAAAAGAGAGAGGTGCATTACAGACTAGTAGTATGGGCAAGTATGGGAAACAAAAGGAGATTAAATTGGTCAAACAGTGGATGTTATTGACTGCCCAGAATCGACTAGGGGATATCAACCTTGACTGAATTGACAGAATTAAGTTAATATTTCACTTGTGTGAAATGGCATTTTTTCCTTTCCTTTTTTTTTTTTTTTGAGCTTCAATCCAAGTATGCTTTTTTCCCTTTCTCTTTTTTCATTAATTGTTTTTATTTTAATTCCAATACAGTTAACATACAGTGTAATATTAGTTTCAGGTGTACAATATAGTGATTCAACAATTCTATACATTATTCAGTGCTCATTATGATAAATGTACTCTTTAATCTCCATCACCTATTTCCCTAGCTCCATCCATGTTGCTGCAAATGGCAAGATTTCATTCTTTTTATCGCTAAACAATATTCCATTCTATATCTATACCTTATCTCTTTTATCTGTTTATCTGTCAGTGGACACTTGGGCTGTTTCCATAATTTGGCTATTGTAGGTAATGCTGCAATAAACATTGGGGTGCATGTGTCCCTCTGAATTAGTGTTTTTGTATTTTGGGGGTAAATACCCGGTAGTGCAATTGCTGGATCGTAGGGTAGTTCTATTTTTAGTTTTTTGAGGAACCTCCATACCCAGTATGGAGTATGTGGCTCCACAGTGGCTGCCCCAGTTTGCATTCCCACCA